ATATATATATATATATATATATATATATATATATTTGGATTCATTTTTTATTTTATGCAGTTTTTTTTTATTATATATGATATATTATTTTTTAACTCTATAATTAATTTTATTGTCTCATATAATTATTTATCATTATGTGTGTTAATTAGGGGAGAATGTTGAGAATATATTATTAATCAACTGCGAGAATATATTATTGATTAACTGCATAAATTAATTAATGCATGCATTTTTATAATAATTTTGATTATGATTTGTCTAGCTGATGTCGTATGGTTACAAGTAAATATATTTGGTTTATTATTTTGGTAGAATATAATAAAAGTCCACTTGTACAGTCCCACACCATATAGACTAAGCCATAATTAAGGGGAGATTTGACTATGTTTCTTGTACTTCCCATTTGAAAACATTTTTAATATATCTTTGAAAACAAACCTTTGTATTAAAGTTACATTTAATTAATAATAACATTTATTATAGATTAAAAAATAAAATCCTCTTTGGACATTTTTGAAGATTGCTAGTTAGCTTTTTGTGGTACTTGATGATATAAAAAAGATTATGACATTTCCACATCATTAGTAGACATTTTTCTAAAAATTATAACTGATCGATTCGTCTATTCGTTAAACTGTCTCACACCAAAAATTATATTTTTAATTTATTATTTATATTCTTAATTAAGTGTATATGTGTGAGAGATTTAACCCTGTGAGTTTACACTAAATCTAATTTACATTAAATAACTGAACACATGCATTTAATAACTCTAGTTTCCTACTTCCTTTTTAGGGTAAATGGAGCTACTAATTTAATATCCATTTAACTTAGTTTTCTATACCAAAGCTATGAACGAGCCTGACCGAGTTCGAGCTCCTCGTACTCGAATTCGGACTCCATCCCTTATCGAGTCAATAATCGAGTTTATCTCACAAGCGTTAACAACTTTAGTCTATACACAAACTTGAGGTTTCCAAATTTCATTAAATTTTATAACTCGTGTAATTTCTTCAATTGAAGGCAAGCCTGAGTGGAAAAACTCGAAATTAGATTTTTTTTTTTAATTTAATAAAGTTCAAGAATTTATATTTACATTTGACTGTTATAGAATACCTAGAGTAGCATATAGTAATTAAATTAAGATATAATTAATTACTGTAGAAAATTTAATCACGTAAACAGAATCTTGATTCACAAGTGCTTGCTCAATTTGACTTGCGCCGTAAATTTATTATTGAATACACAGTTTTTTTTTCTACGATGCACAGTCAACAAATAACTTGGCCTCGTGTCAAAATATTTATGTTATGTTTTTCAAGTTGCATATAAAAAAATATGGGAGATGCTACAGTCCCGTTACATAACATTTCGTCTAAATTTGTAACCATTAAATCATCATGTAATCGTCGGAGATAGTTGATCTAACGGTTACAAACTCCGACCGAATGATTCCGTAACGAGACCGTAACATTTTCTAAAAAATCAATAGATCATTGCTCATGTATTTGAAAGAGTAAGTTAAATACGAGGCCTAGGATAAAGCCCATTTCAAACAGGTCAATCATGATAAGCAAAATAAATCAAAAACGACGGCCCAAACATACTTGCAATAACAACGATTTGATAATAAGCCCAATCAATTATGGATTCGCAGCTCGGTCGGTTTAAGAAAACTGAATATTGAATAAAAATGTCCCAACTCTTCAAATATTGTACGGTTTCATAATTGAAATAATTACCCCCAAATAAGCATTAAGAAACAAGCTTTTGTATGTCATATGTAGTGCAACTTTGGCCAGCAAATGAATCGAGTGTTGCTAAAGTTCGATCGGAGCTCAAGTTTGATCAAGTTGAAGTTAAGCTCGAGCATCTTATATCTAAATTCGAGTCGAGCTCGAGTCAATATTTTAAAAGTTCGAGTGCTATCAAGGAATATATTTAGATTAAACAAATCTAACCAAACTGAAGCACCTGAATTTCATCTAGTCTTCTTCCGAAATAAATAAATAAATAAAAAAACTACCCAAAATGCATTGAACAAATCGCACCTAAATTTCGTCTACCTCTGAAAAAAGAAAAAAAAAATACAAAATGCAAGCAAAATAATGGAGATGCGGGGTATCGATCCCCATACCTCTCACATGCTAAGCGAGCGCTCTACCATCTGAGCTACATCCCCTCACATCTGATGCCAAGTGATTGGTCTCATTGACTTTAAACTGAACAAAACACGAGAGAGTCGATTTTTACAGTCCTTTTTCATTTACTCCACACTCATTCAAAACAATGATAATAATATTCGAGTTTCGAAAGACCATAAACTGAGATCAGAACCATATACATTGTGTCATTGTAATACAAGCCTGATCTTCTACTAACCTCTTGCTCTCCTCCGTCTCCACCGAGTCGAGCAAGTCATCGGACGATAATATTCACATCCCGTGCAAAAAAAAAAAAAACGACACCACCACCACTATTCGCTCGACCCCATCCCTCGATACTTATACTTCGAGGCCCAAAACAGATAGTTCAAGAAGTTGAGCCCGCTAAGCACGCACATCAGCCAATAGAATCTCTCCAATTGGTACTCGTTCAAGTTCGCCCCCGACAGCCACGCCCCGTGCCCCGACCCGCCGGTCACCCTATTCACGACCGACACAATCACCGTGCTCATGTAATACCCGACCGCCAAGCTCGCAAACGAAAGCGACGTTGCCAACGACCTCATTCCGAAAGGGGCCTCCGTGAAGAAAAACTCGAGCAGGCCCGCTAAGGTGAAAAGGTCCGCCGACCCCAAAAACAGGTATTGGAGCGCGATCCAAAAGAACGTGATCGGTAACGGCCCGGTCCCAGTCCCGGCCCGGCCCGCAACCCGTTTCCTCTTGGCCTCGACCAGTGCGGCAACGGCCATCGCAACTATAGAGAGGAATAGCCCAATCCCGATTCTCCGAAGGTGGGTCACCCCCGTTTCAGACTTGGTGGCCCTTCGGGCGAACGGGATTATGACATGGTCATATAGTGGGGCGAGGATCATGATGAAGACGACGGGGAAAACAGGGAGTGACGCGGGCGGGACTTTCATGGAACCGAGCCTCGTGTCCATGGTGGCGGCTTGTTGGACGGAGAAAGTCGAAAGCTGGGCGAGGCACGTGTTGAGGATGACGGTGCACGCGAAGATCGGGAGGATTTTGAAGACGATTTTGACCTCCTCAAGGTCCTTGACCGAGCACTTGAGGATCGGGAGAGCTGGCTTGTTGGTCACGGCACGGTTGAGGAAACGGAGACTCTGGGACGGTGTTTGCGCGTTTTCTTCAAGCTTGTCGGAATGGATTTGGTCGGCAGGGACCAGAGGGTATGGGCTGGCGGACATGTTGGCGATGGCGTTGCTCGTGCTTCCCGGTATGCTTCGCGGCATGCACGTGTTTAGCAGCGAGGCTAAGAGGACCTGTTTAGCAAAGACCTACGGATTAGTTTTAATGGAGGCGGGAAAATTTTTTCGAATAGTTTAGTGTAAATGCAGAGTGTGTGTGTGTGTGTGTGTGTGTAGGGTTTGTTCGATTTTCGAACGAAGAATTGTAATTATGTTACGGAAAATTCGACGAGCGTGGACTTAAATCGGGCAGTACATTACGTACGTACAATTTGACTCAAAAGCAGAAAACAATGCACTACTACATGTACCTTGCATATCGTCGTGAGTGGGCTTCCGAGCGGAAGCTTGTTTCTGTAAAAAGCGGATCCGGCAAGAAAAACAGGAATCGACAAAAGTATCGCCAGAGTCGAGATCCCGAAACCCCACTCCCATCCTTTATTATCCTCGATCCACACGACTAGGGTCACGGCAATGAGGGCCCCAACCGAGAGGGAGAACACAAAGTAGTTGAAGAAGGTCGACCTCTGCTTCCGCCCGAGCGGGGTGCTCTCGTCCAACTGCTCGGCACCGTGGGACGGCAACG